TAATTACAAATTTTATATAAAATATTTTAGTTTCTTATAAATTTAGAAATATTTTTGTTAACAGGCATATTATAGATGAGGTACAGATCTATTACAATGTATAAATATTATAAATTTGAGAAAATCTATTTGAAAAATGCTTGCTACTGAGTAAAAAGTAATTTTGTACATGATAAATAAGTAATTATTTGGACAATTTAAAAGTCTTCTACTCTAGATTCTGAAATCTGAACTCAAGTATGATTAAGAGTTTAGTTGATGGTTGGGTAGTATACTAAACAAGACTAGGCAATAAAATATTATGAGTCTTATATCTGATATGAACTAGGGTCCTTTATTAGTTTAGTATTTTGATGCTGTGAACATACAATATTTTAGACTTTTGTACCAACTTACATACAAATTACAATTTTAATAAATGAATGCATCCAAGGATACGAATTATGTAATACAGTATTACATATACAGAACACTAGAGTATTATGAAATTTGTCTGAAATGTCTAGTAGGGCTGTAAGCCTGCAGCCCATAGCCCACAGAAATTCACTAATGCACGTATAATAATATGATGTTTACTAATTAGTTTTGAATATACTCAAACCATTATGCCAAATTCTTATGGATCATAGCCAAAAGTTCATTATTAATCAAATTAATATAGAACACAATATAAATAATCAAATATAAATAAAATGTTTTCAAAAAAAAAAAAAAAGACATTTTACATAATTAAATCAAGCGTTACATATTTAAAATATTCATGAAGACTAGGTCGAAGTTTGAGTATTAGTTGATAGGAAATGTCACCAGATAACATCTATATGAAGTAGTTAATAGAGAAAGACTACTTTGGATGTAAACGTTGAAAATGTTAGTAATTTATTTTATAGTGAGGCAATCACCCCAGTACTCAACAATTAAACATAATTAACTTGTGTACACCATTGCATATTTTTACCTTTTTATAGAAAACACTGTACCTAGTAACTAGTAATAATAAAGATATATTATTAACAAAGTTAATCAAATGCAATAACAACTATTAAATGCAGTAACATTTTATCATCAATTGAACACCATTTATTCAATTGAAACTAATTCTTTAATTTGTATGACCATACCCAACTCTCTTGCTACAATCTATTATGATGATATTTAAGAGGACGCTACACC